CCCCAAAACCCCAAAACCCCAAAACCCCAAAACCCCAAAACCCCAAAACCCCGGATAGTCCCTAGAAAATTGGATAAAAATAAGTCTGATTAAACTCCAAGTTTTTACAGATTAGATTAGTTATGGTCTCTTTCCGTTCAGCCATTGGTTGATGACATATTGACTTTCCTTTCTCATCCATAGAGGCACTAAATGGCCAGCTCCGTGGAAGATTACATACTCAAGGCCATCTCTGAGGGTGTAGTACCCAGCCACCTTCCCATCGATAACGAAAGGGTCGTGGTCAATCTTAAGGTCCCATCCGAGGTTCTCAATCCATTGATTAGTTCCGAGAGTCGGGACAGATCCGTCAGTGTCTCCAGAATATTTGAGGATTCTGTAGCCAGCATCCTTGAGTTTAGGGTAAATCCAGATGGTTCCTTCTGGAAGTCTTTCGTAGTTGAATTCAGTGCAAGCTTCCCAACCTCCTGTCTTCTCAGTAACATGAAGGATCTCTCTAACATCGTTCCTATCAAGGTAGTCTGGGATCTGGCTACTGAAAGAGTTCTGATTTTGGAAACGATCGAGGAAATTCGCATATCCAACTTTCTGCTTCTTCTTGTCAGATTTGAGTAGGTCATGAATTTTTTCAGCTTTACTCATCAGTCCTCCGTCTTGTGGAGATCTGTACACATCATAGATATTGATGTCTTGGACAGCTCCGTACCATTCGTTAAATAATCTTGCACAAGTTCCTCTGAGATTGTCAAGGTTGAAGAACCTGAAATCACAGTTAGATTTTTCTAATCTGTTGGCAAGGTCAAGAGTAATCAATCCATGAGCGTATGAAAGGGCGATATATGCTGGGAAAGTATCGTAATCCCAGTCAGTCACTCCATTTCCAATACCGATACCAACAAGGTTGATATCTCCACCATTTTTAGTGGTGTGACCATGTCTATGAAGATTGTAGGCAAGGTATGGAACATAAATTCCACCATAGCTTTCTCCTGTGATGTACAGCTCGTGGTTAAGATATTCTGGGAAAGCCTTGTAGAAGTTTAGCACGAAAGATTCTTCTTGATCTCCAGCAATTTTGTCGTTTAAGTATTCACCTCTGTAGCCAACATTGAACCCAACTCCTGCTGGGTTTTCAACATAGAGAACGTTCGCGTTGGCGTTCCATGAGTACTCATTGTTGTGAGGTTCAGCGTCAGTGTCAAGACCATCCCAAACACATGGACCATGCTCATTGAAGAACCCGAGAAGAGATGAGCATCCTGGACCACCATTGAACCAGATCACTAGTGGGTCAGTTTCTGGTTTGTTCTGACTCTCTACTAGGAAGTAGTGGAACTTATTTTGATCGTCAATCGGGATGTATCCTGAGTAGGCATCGAAGTCCCATTTACCACAGCCTGGCAAAGGTGTAGTAATCAAGTCTTCTTTTTTCGCAGCAAATGAAATAGCCAAAAGAATAGCTAAAATGAGAATTTTCATTTCTATTTATTATTACTAAAATCTCTCTCAATATAAGCGTTTGTGACAGGGGTTTTGGGGTTTTGGGGTTTTGGGGTTTTGGGGTTTTGGGG